TATTTTAATTGTGTAAAAGAAAATAACTAAAACCCTAGTTTTTTTAAATTAAATTTACAAACCAATTAGTAAAATAAATAAAGTATGATTAAATAAAAATAACTTTAATTGTAAAAAAATAAATAAACTATATCAAAATATAAAATCTAATATTTTTATATTTTTTCTGATTTTTTTTAATATTAGACAAAATATTAAAGAAAATAAATAAATGAAAAATGAGAAAAAGAAAATAAAATGGGCCAGGGGTGTGAATAGTCCAGGGGAGTCAGAATAAACAAAAAGGAATAGGCCCAAAGAAGTGAAGCCCAAAGCTGCAAAAAAAGTCAAAAAGTGTGAAAAATGTGAAAAAAATCACAAAAGGTCACGATGGGGCTTGAACCCAGGACCTCATAGTGACAGGTGCCCGCTTTAACCATTGGGGTGGTGATACATCCGTTAACTTATGCAAAACCATAAATATATAACATAAAACGCGCCCTGATTACACTTCATCTTCAACCTCCAGCCAGACCACCTGTAACTTGTTCATTTCTCAACCATTTACAACAAAGTAAACATGAAACTTGTGTAAAATTTTACCACAATTCCAGAAATGTAAACAACTTAAACTAATTCTCAAGAATGAACATGAATTTTGAATGGTACCAAATTCTGACCTAATTTTTTCAGGATGTTCAGATTAAAAATTCTAACTACTCAAGCAATATAAATGAAATCTAAAGACATGGTTAGCTTCAGAACAATGATGTCTACATATTTCATTCACAAATTAGACATTAATGATACTTGTATGAAGAGTTTAAAGTTCAGATAAGTTACCTCAAAATTGGAAGTCGTGTTCTACAAATGAGCACTCCTCAAGGTGTTGTGATGATCAGCATAGCTCCACTGAGGTCCCAGGAAGCTAATGCAATGGTTACTTTGAGTTGTAAGTACTTGAACTGGCCCGGAGAAGTCAAGATGCAGACATCTGTTTTTGGAAATGGAGGATGGTGATGGAGGTGTTACAGAACTGTAACAGGATGAGGGATGACTTCTAAATGAGTTCTTGGTGTTTTCAGGGCTCAAGCATGTGTTTCATTTGTGGAAAATTACTTGTGTATGTATAAGCAAAAGACTTGAGTGCTTGAGAGGGTCAGAAGTACTAGTTCTAGATTGATTTCTATGTTACTTGATTTTGAAGAAAAGTGGGAAATATGGTTCCAAGAAGAAGTACAAGCATGGGCTGAGTGATCATAAGTGTTTAGACAAACTTCTCTTGAGTTATAGGACATGTATGATCAAAAGAAAACAATTGCAAGGCTCAAGAACAAGTTTTGTGCAAAAATCTACTTTATCAAAATGGCATTGTGCACTTTCTTCTCAAAATGGATATAAAGCATGGCCTTGCATTGAATGCTTGAATTGAGACCTCTAACAGCTGTGAAATAAATTAATTATGGAGTTCCTGACAAGTTTGAGGCCTGTAAAGTAGAGATTATGCAGCATAGGTTTGAAATTTGAATCTTGTTCATCACAAAATGACTTGTATTTCAAGTGTGAAAACCCTAACTTCATCTATTCGATTCTCCCTACTCAAGAATGATATCAAGGAGTTCTATGACATCTTGGAAAGCTTGTAATGTTCTCTACAACCCCTCTTTGAATCACTTTTGAAAATTCCCCTTGGAACTATATGAAAAAGTGCCATGAAATCAGGTCAAAATCCTGACCAAAACTAGGGCAAAATTTCACTAAGTCTCCAATTTCAAGACCATGACTTTAGGAATTAATAACTTGAGATCCAAGCATTTTTAGGAGAAGTAGTGTAAATCAATGTTGTAGATATCATGGAGATATACAACTTTCGTGTTGGAAGTTTCTTCTGAATCCTCTTGCATCATGGTGAAAAATTGGCCCAAAGTTATGAAAAAAATATGAAGTTTAAACACTTAGAAAAATTTCTAAGTTAGAAAACTTTGACTTTTCAAAATAAAATCTTGACTTTTTTTATTTTTTTGATGAATAAGTTTCACATTTTGACATGTTTTGATGAATTGTGATCTTTGACATTGAACTTTGACCAAAAAGTCAAAGTTTGACTTTTCAGTGTACAATTGACTTTTTGATAAGTTGACTGAAAATTCACTATCAATCCAATTAATCTTGAGCAATATTTTAGGTGATGCCATTAGGTCAAAATTATGCAATTGAAATCTTGAAATAATGCTTCAAATAAATTGACCATTTACTAGGTCAAAAATCAGAAATTGCCCTTTCTCAATCAAAACCCTAATTTTGACCATTTTGCCCTTTTGATGATTTGATCAGACTTCTTGAGGAATTATGGTCCAAACTTGATAAAATGATACATATGAGTTTATAATATTTATGTTGATCAAAAATCACGAGGTTTGACTGTAAATTGGCCATAGTTGACTTTTTCCCCAATATAGCTGATTTTAGGTCAACTGCTCAATTGACTGAGCAAAAGTGTGATCCAAAGCTTGAAACATGGCATGAGTAATCTTGGGGGTCCATAATGACCCATGAAAGTCATATGAAGCATTGAAAGTTCAAATATCCTTGTGCAATCTCAAACCCTAATTTTGGTCATCAGTGCTAGAGGAGATGTCTTGAGTTGATCAACCCTAGTGCAGTCTTGAACCAAGAGAGGTCTTTGTGAAGAAATATTTGATAAGTGAGAGGGAAAATTTTGGGGTACAACACTCCCTTAGATAGATGAAAATCATATGATTACTCTACATTATTAACGATTGAGATCCACCCAAAATGTTCTGATAGATACTAAAGTACCCTTAGTGGAGGCAGGGTATCATTATAACTAGAGTAAGGGTATGTGTCATCAATTCTCAGTGCCACACAATGCCATATAAGAGTAGTATTCAAATTCGCTGCTTCCCAAGAATGACGATGTTCCACCAAATATCTATACACTATGACCTTGTGGCCGAGTGAAATTACCTACTACAAACCCCCACTTTACAAAACAAAAGATAAGGGCTTGGAGGGCAATTGTTATGCACCGACCGAAATGCCCCAAAAGGCATAAATGCATAATACTAGGAAGATGCAAAATAAGTTAAAGGGTAGAAGGACTTTATGTCTCGCATCACTCAGATCAACTCGTTTGAAGAACTCATCCTCACGTTCCAGATCCATTTTACTATCATGCGCATCTTACGATCACACTCGCATTTACTTGCTAACTAACTCTCATATTTAAGGGGTTAACGCTCTATTTTCCAGGTACAAATTCCATTTCCCCTTTATATAACGTTTCTCACTCTCTCTCTGACTTGAGCGTTAGAGTACTAACCTCACAGACCAACACCTCTCCACCACATCAGAACTTTGGATCACCACAACATCACACCAATTCAACCTCTCTGATCATCGTTTAGTTCCAAAGCGGGCTAAAGAGCGTGAAGTATAAAGCGTGTGCATATGAATAAGCCAAAATGACAAGCCACACCCCTGTTATGTTGATTCATAGTCAGGGGACTATTGTTCTAGACATGGGCGACGCCAAATCTAGAACGATTCAGCAATCGGGTTGACCCACGTAGTGAAAACCTATAAATACTTTGCGAAACAAGTCTGAACTTTAAATTAAGGCTAGTCGAGATCTGAGAACATTTATCCCTTAAGACAGGTGTTCCCAACAGAAGGTTCTCAGGACCCAAATCATGGAACCATAATATAAAAGGCTAATGAAAGTCCTATATTAAGGTACAAATGATTCAAACCCTAAATGTCTCTCGATTAGGATAAGCATTGAATTGAACATCATAGTGTTTGCATGTACCCCGATGACACCAAAACAAAAAAACCATCAAGACCTTCAATGAACTTCACAATCAAGTTTCACTTCACACCTCTTTGAGAGTCAGAAAGATCCAATTTGGATCATATTGTAACAATTTTCACATATTATTATTCTTTTGTTGTCATTTTACAACGACCGTTACTTTTTCTCATATTTTAAAAGTTTTTTACGTTATGCCTTTGTATTGTGATTACGTTCATATGTTATTTGTATGCTTTATTGTTTCTAAAAACAAATTGTTGAGTTCAAGTGTGAGTAGTTAAATTTCACATCGTTTATGTTAAATTTAAAATAGAGGTGATTTATATACTTAATACATTAAAAAATTTAAAATAAAAATATGTCATCTCCCTCTCTTGTTATCTTGAATATTTGATTCACTATTCCAACCGTTATTAGCATTTAAAAATAGATCTTTTGTAAATATTTTTGCTTTCCAGAGATTTGGTAGGCAAAACTCCATTTTTTTTCTTTCTTTTAAGTGAATATTTTTTACTATTTTTTATAATTTACAAAAATTAAATATAAAAAATTAATTTATTTCATTGCATATATTTTGAATTAAGAGAATAAAAATCGATGAATTTGATTACCTGAATTTCATCATGTTCCATTGGACTGCCTCCATTATTTACAAATCTTAATATTTTGTCATATAATATAGATTAAGTTCTATTCCATAAGATTTCATCTATCCAAACATGCCCATAAAAGATTTGGTAACTAAAACTCCATTCTTTTTTTCTTTTTAAGTGAAAGGCAATGTCTATATAAATAAGAGACATTGATTGAACATATTAAATTGAAACATAGAAGCAAATGTCATTAACTAGGATAATTTTCCAATTTAAAAATATTTCATAATTTGAGTATCATATGATATTATTCAAATGTCTAAGTAGAAGACTCATTTTCATCCACAGTTGTCACACTATATAGTTTACAAGAAGGACCTTGTAAATTGCGCGTGGGGTTGAAGTTGGACTATAAAAAACCATGTTAATAACCGAGTCTCCGACACTCTTCAACTCTAATCCAAGCGTTCACACTTCTTCAACTACTTTTTCATCCTCACTTCTTCTTCACCTTAACTAAATTCATTTCAATTTTTCCTCGTCAAACCTTCTTTCAAAGTCAAATAAACCAATCACCGTCAATGACTTGAACCATGGGCTTTCTCCGGCGACTCTTTGGCGCCAAGAAACCGGGTCCTCCCACCGACGGTTCAGCTACCAAATCTGACAAAGACAGCAACAAAAGAAGATGGACCTTCGCAAAACAAAGCAGTAGGAGAAAGTCACTCCCACCACCACCGCCACAACCACCACCGCCCTCCGCCTTCACTCAATTTGACCCCTCCACTTCCTTAGAACGCAACAAACATGCAATTGCTGTTGCGGCTGCCACTGCAGCCGTCGCCGAGGCAGCTCTCGCCACCGCACATGCCGCTGCGGAGGTTGTCAGACTGACAAGCAACGGCGCGGGAAGTAGCTCCAAAGCGCGTGGTGCCAGCCAGCCACGGTTGCCGGAGGATACCGCCGCCGTTAGAATACAGTCAGCTTTCCGCGGTTACTTGGTAAGTGTAAATTATATAATCTTTTTACATTTTTGTTTTTCTTTTAGCAATTTACAAATGTGACTTCAATTTTTCTTTCTAATCCAATATAATATCTCATTAAACAAATAAGATGTTCAAGAGCAATTAAATGAGATAATACTATTTTTTTTTTTTAGGTTGTTGAGTTCGAATTCACTTCTATGCACATATTGTATTTATTTATATTCGAAAGATTAGTTTATATAGTACTTTCGAACTTAGAATACCTTCTCATTTATAGAAAAAAGTCAATTTTTGTGAAAATTAAAAAAGTTCAAATAGTTGTTTCACTAGTAGCGTTTTTTTTGTAAGGGAAATTACACTAAACTTAATTATAGATATCGATGACATTTAATTACGACTTTTTATCTATCACTAAATTTTTTTTAAATTTTTTATTATTACATATTTTAAAATTGGAGAGGTCGTCGGCTGGTGTTATTTTAACCAATCTCACATATGAGTGTAATTTTTCACTTTTCTTAATGATGTAAAAATAATAATTGTTGCTAATAGCTAGTGAAAGCAAATTGTTCCATAGACAACTGTAATATTGGTCCCCTCCACACTAGAATACAGTACATCTAGTCAAATCTTGCTTCCTTCCTTAATCCTATCCTATAATTCGTACATTTTTTATTTTACTCTTTTTACTAATATATTATATTTTTTATTTCTTCTATTTATTTTCAAAAAGTGTCGTTTATTAGAATTTTAGTGAGTAGGAATTTAAATGAAGAAAAAAAGAGACACAGTGAATAGAAAAAGAGAGCCCCAACCCGTTAATTGTATAGTGTCGGGGTAAATAAAGTATGAACAAAAAATTCATTTTTCAATGACATAAAATAATTAATATTTCTGATCTATATATCATCTAAATATAATGATTATATAATAGATCTGAAAAGTAATATATTTTTTTATAATAAGAATGAGAGTTAGTACAATAGTATTTATAAAAGGAAATGTGAAAGCGTTGCGAGGAAGATTTACCCTCTAGACAAAGAGTTATGATAGTTACCTTTAGACGAGGCAAACTAAAAATGCCCCTATTGTGGCCCTTTGCCAACCCATCATCAACCACGTTTAAGGTAATGGCCCCCATGGGTAGGGTTGCTATTCCTTAATGTAGTGTCACAATGTAATGACCAAGATGGTAACCACTTCTTTTGTTTTTGCCTGCGTATGGGTTTTTCTTTCTCATCGAGTCATTTTCTTTGCTTTGCCAATTCAAAAGGTTAAAAACATTCCTTTGTGGGAAAAATAGACTATTCAACTTACTTATAGTTTAATGGTTTTATTATGATTTATAACATTAACGTGAAAAAAGTAGGTATAGTTAATGTCACTAATTATCACACTATGCTATTAGATAGAGATTGCATTAAGTTAACTATGAACTTTCCTTGCTTTGTCATTTTTTTTTAACTTAAATTAGTAGGATACTTGTATTGCCTTACTTGGTTTCTTCTTTATGAAGTTTCCTAAATGATGGTTTATGGTATAATTTTTCTTTATCGTTAAGAAACCGATTGATTCTATTTTGTAAATGTTGCTAATTTGGAAGGCGAGGAGGGCGTTGAGAGCGCTAAAAGCATTGGTGAAGTTGCAAGCATTGGTTAGGGGCCACATTGTGAGAAAGCAAAGTGCGGATATGCTAAGGCGCATGCAAACATTGGTTCGACTTCAGACGCAAGCACGCGCGACTCGTGCGCACCACTTGTCATCGGATAATTTGCATTCTTTCAAGTCTTCACTTTCTCATTACCCTGTAAGTACCAAACACTAACATAGTATGCTGTTTTAGGTTGAACTGTGGTTAACATTGAAATTGAATGATTACTAGTACTAAAAAAAAAGATTTGAGGCTATTAACCTCTCTTTTTGTATATTTTAAATATGTGTTCGTAATTGCAGGTTCCGGAAGAATATGAGGACCCGCACTCACATCGCGTCTGTAGTACGAAATTCGGTGGATCTTCCATTCTCAAGGTACAGTACTATTCCTCCTAAGATAAAGCAGTCAAAATGCATTTCCGCCTGTTTCCAAAGTTTCCAAACACACTTTTAATTTTTTGCAAAATCGCGTAGTCATTGTGATTCTGTCAAAACTCACAGTGATACTAAACATACACTTAATTTACCGTTCTTCAATTGATTTTGTTTCTAAACTTGCAGAGATGTAGTTCGAATGCAAATTTTAAGAAGATCGAGTCGGAGAGACAACGGATTGGCTCCAATTGGTTAGACCATTGGATGCAAGATAACTCAGGTAACCAAATCAAAGATACTTCATTCAAGAATAAACATTCACACGACGATAAAATTGATAAGATTCTCGAAGTAGATACTTGGAAGCCACACGAGTCTCCGTTGAAACACTCAACAAAACCTCAAAATCAAACTCCCTCATTCAAGTTTCACAAAGGAAAAGACCAAGAAACAGCATCGCGGACAGCTGATAATAGTCCACAAACATTCTCCGCGTCTTTAAAAACCGGAAACAGTGTAAGAAGAGGTAATCCTTTTACACCTACAAGAAGTGAATGTTCATGGAGTTTCTTAGGAGGTTACTCCGGTTACCCTAATTTCATGGCGAACACCGAATCCTCTAGGGCTAAAGTTCGATCGCAAAGTGCACCTAGACAAAGACATGAGTTTGAGGGATACATTTCCTCTAGAAGACCTTTTCAAGGTCTTTGGGAAGTAGGGTCTACTAATTCAGACCAAGATTCTGATTCAAGGAGCAATAGAGTCTCACCATCTTTGAGCCGTTTCAATAGAACTGGAAGTAACAATTTAAGGTGACACATTGCATGTGTTATGGTTATGTACCAAGACACTTTTTCACAAAAAAAGAAAAAAGCAGATATGTTTTCTTTTGTTTGTTTTTTTGTGTCTCAGCTTTTTAAAATGTAACTACTTCATTTTTCTTACATGTACTCGTGTGTACTAGTCTTTTGTCCATATATGATCACAATTTACTTTGTTGACTTTTCAAGTGTGGTGATTTGTAAATCATAACCTGGTTTGAATATTTTGCCTATATTGGAATGTGACTAACATGAAACTAACCAGTGGCTAGTTCTTTCATAACAAAGGATGAGTTTTTCCTCCAAAATGAGGAAAAAGTTATACTTTATATCTCAATTTGATTTAAAGTATTCAAAAAGTTAATGATAAAAGTATTGCTTTTTCACTTTATATACAAATAGTACATTTCTTTGCAAATATAATATCCATGATGGATTAAAGAACTCATTTCTTCTTGGGATCCATGCTTGTATGCTTTTAGATAAGTCAATTTCGGCCAACAGTGGTGCATAATTCTATAACGGTTGTGTTGGGCTATTCTTTTCTCTTCTGTAAACTTAAAATTATCCTTTAAATTTAAAATGTTTTAAGAGTAATTTTGATGAATTTTTCAATCAAATATGATTTGAAATTTAACCCGTCTTTTTTGCACTTAAATCATTCTAAAGAAATATCAAAAGTGTCTCCTTCACCTCTTTTTACAATTCGCTCTTTCGTCCGCACTATAAGAAACATGATTAAAGTCTCACATTATCTACGAATGAGTGAATTGGAATGTTGGATTTATAAGAGATGTGATTTATTTATCTAATACTTTAAGATTTTTGGTTGAGATTTGTCTCACTCTCTTGTGGTCTTGAGCATTAGTCTCATTGATGCTCTCAATTCTCTCAGACTCTCCAACAGTGGTATTAGAGCCTGATTCGACTTGGTGGGGGAGCGGGAGCTAGATCCGGTGTTGAATCATTAGGATGTAGAGAACTCACACTTGTAGGGGAAAATGAATGAGTGAAATATTATATTTATAAGAGAGACAACTAATTTACCTAACACTTTAAAATTTTGGATTGAGATGTAGTGTTTCACTCTCTTGTGATACTAAAACATTAGTTTTATTGGTACTCCCGATTCTCTCGAACTCTCCAACACACACTTTATATATTTATAATTATTATTCATATAACTTTCTAAAAATTAATCAAATAGATATCATCCTGCTATACGTTATCCTGCTATACGTTAGCCTGATATTATAATTTTAAGATCGACCGCTTTGTCATTGACTACTCTCATTCTTGTGTGTTGGATTTTTAACTATAATGACAAACATTTTCTTATTAGACCAAAATGAATGGTGGAGATTGAGCTACTAGAGAGGATCCAGATCCATTATAGTATTGATGTGGATCTTATATATCTTTCTTTATATAGCTTAGCCTTTTGGTGGTCCATATAATCCGAAACGGATATGAAACAAAAAAAGGACAAAATAAATCACACAAGTAAAAGAGAAACATGACACCATTACTCACATGAACCACATCCTTTCCCTTTCTCTCACTGTGATGTTCTGTTCTTGATATTACGTGACGAAACTCTGGCATTGGTAGAACGGTAGTTCATCTCTCTGATCAAGTTTTGGCCCACAAAACAATCTCACTTGGAAGCCTCCTCTTTTTGTGTATCCAATGGCAACTTGAAATGCACTTTTCTTTTACTGCTTTTATCAATCATATTATACTACAAGATCTGAAAAAAGAAGTTTATTTGAATTCAACCGTTAAACTAATAGTTCAATAGTCAAAAAGAGTGTAAAAAAGCAATAGTTTGCATGTGATGGGACTTGGTAAGTGCTTTCACCTGGACATACCGTACCATGGGAAGAGCAGGACCAAAGTACAGGACAGACATTGGTGAACATAAAATAGTACTAGGATTCTTTATTGAAGATGTTCCATGTCCATGGCATTAGGTCCATTCTTTGAAAGCATGGTTATGAGTTGTTTAATTAATTGATGGAGACACACAAAACAATTTAGCAGTTACTAAATAAGTGGTTAGAAACTGTATTAGTGAGAGCAGCTATGTGAAAATAGATATAGCTGATATTTCTGATTTCGTTTTATTTATTTATTTTTTAAATGTAAATTTTACATAAAATTTAGTTGATATAAATTAGAAAAACTAACACTAATGATAAATATTAAATAGGTTCTGACATTTTGGAATGTTTAGTTGTAAGAAATAAATAGAATTTAACGAGTTCTTGTATTCAATTCAACATCTACTTGTATTCAATAAATTATTTTCTTTTTCTAGAAAAAGAATTCAATGAGTCATGTGATGCATCTATTGTGGCATTTATGTTTCAGACAAATAAATTTTTGAGGATAGTGTACTTTCACACCTTTAAAGAATTTATAATTTTGGGCTTCGGCTCTCATTCTCATAATTTTTTATTTATTATTATTACTATGTATTTACGGACACGAAAAAACAAATCCAAGAAAATAACAAGTCCATGTTTTGTATAAGGTAACTTTGGAGATGATTGTTATGCAAATAAGGAGAAATCACAGGAAAGATAAAGCTAAATTAGTAAGAGAGGATGAAGATGAACTAGTTTTTGCTAATTGTTACAACTAAAGAAGAAGTTGAATGTGGTGATTAGTGGTATTTAGATATTGGGTGTTCAACTCATATGATCAAAAGAAAAGATCGACTTGGTAGACTCAATCAAGCCTTCAAAAACTAGGTGATATTTGTAGATGACAACACACTTCTAAATGAAGGAATTGATGATGTCCCAGTTAAAAGAAAAGATGATATGCAATTCTTTATCTAAAAAATGATGTACATTTTTGGTACGAAATGAAATCTTTTAAGTATTGGTCAATTGTTTGAGAAGAATTACAAAATCTCTATATAAGATTAGATGGGGTGAGTGCAAGATACAAAAGAAAAACTAATCTTGAAGGTTCTTATGTCAATGAATAAAACCTTAAAATTAAGCCTGGTATGAGGGAGCATAATTTTCTAGCAACAAATGCAAATAGAGAATAATGAATTTGACACTACAAGTTTGAAATCTTGACCTTATGTGAAAACAAGACATGGAGTCAAGGTTGTCTAAAATAGTACCAATAAAAATGTGTGAAGAATTTGTCTAATACAAGTAGCTTAGAAGTTATTTCATCAAAGATGTAGAGCATGGGTAAAATTACTATTGAGTGTTAAAATATTTGATATAATATTAAATATAATCTAAGTTGGGTAATCCAAACCCAAGCTCAATTAGGGTTTATTAGCCTACTTAGTGTACAAGTTAGTTGTATATAAATAGATTAGTTTGTAAATCAGTTTGTACAATTCAATTCAATAATAAAATTCTTATTTCCTTTATTCTCTTTCTTCCCTCACAAAAAGTTCCTCACGCACTAACAAATTGGTATCTAGAACTCTGTTTAGATTCTTAATCAATTGCTGCAAAGATGAATAATGGCATTCTGAATTCTCTTCCAACTCTTGACGACAAGAATAGGATTCGATGGAGAAAATAGATGAAATCTCAGTTTGACTTTCATGAAATCCTAAAAGTGGTTACCGACGACGTTCCTGTGCTGGTTGCAAATGCAACTGACGCACAGAAAACCGCCCACAATGAAGCCAAGAAGAAGGATTACAAGGTTGTGTATGGCATTCAGACGATGATCGATGCTGTTAACTTTAACAGGATCTCTTATGTTGAATCGACGAAAAGACATGAGATATTCTTGTCAAGTACTATGAAGGAGGTGAGAAAGTCAATGTTGTTAAGTTGAAGATCTTGCAAAGACAATATGAATTGATATCGATGGGAGAAGACGAAAGTATTGTAGAGTATGTGTAGAAGGTGTAGAAAATTGTCCATCTCATGAAGAGTTACGGTGAAACCCTAAATGATAAGATGATAGTTGAGAAGTTAATCTGTATGTTGACCTCTCACTTTGATCACGTTATCATAGCTATTCAAGAAACCAATCAACTTGAAACCCTAAAATTGGAAGATTTGGTTGGTTCGTTGGAAGTGCATGAGATCAGGATTGTCGAAAGGAAAGAAGTTCAAGACTCGATACAAGCTCTGCAGGCTCAGTCATGGAAAAAGAATGGTGGGTCCAACAAATTCAAAAGCAAGTTCGACAAGACTCAGGGGAAGAAGTCTTGGTCGAATCCCCACAAGAATAAGGTCGATGGTAGGGCTTTTGAATCCTCGAAAAGAGGAGGAGGAAACTATCAAAAGGACAAAGAAGATAAAAAAAAAGGTGTGCAATGTTATAATTGTAAAAAGTGGGGTTACTTCGCTAATAATCGTTGGTACAGGAAATACAAGGGATCAACAGTCAATGACGAAGGAGAAAACCTTGCACGACAAGATTCAGATGATCCTGAAGATGTGGTGGTTATGGTTGCAGTTGTAGATAACCATGTCAAGTCTAAGATCTAGTTCCTCGATTCAGGATAATTGAATCACGTGACTGGTTAAAAGGTGTGTTTGTGGCAGATTTCAATGAGTCGAAGAAGAGCAAGGTAAAACTTACTGATAATAGTTCGTTGCAAGCAGAAGGTACTATCAACATAGTTTTTCAAATGAGTAATGGAGGGAAAGATATGATCAAAGATGTGCTCTATGTACCTGGAATAAAGTGCAACTTGCCGAGTGTTGGACAACTAGTTGAAAAAGGTTTCTCAATTGTCATGAAAGATGAAGCTTTAAAATTGTTCGACACCCAAAACAATTTGGTCTTGAAATCTTCTCAATCGAAGAACAAGATGTTTAAGACCATGAACAGTTTGACTGAAGTATAATGTCTACAAACTATTGTAGACCACAAGATGTGTAATTTACTGAGGATCTACATATTAAAATTGTAAAACCCTTAAATCGAAGGACTTTAAAGAACACGAAAATGATCACCGAGTCTGTGGAATCTGAGGAAATGGACAAGGAAGCCATT